TATATATATATTGAGACTTAGAAATTACTGAAGAGAAAAAATTCTCAAGCCAACGTCGTTTAATTTTGCTTTTCATCATTTACAGCTGTGAAGTTTAAAATTATGTAAAAATTTGTATACCTTACAAATCAAAATGTTGTGATTATTATCAATGATATACAAACTAAGGCAAACAACGTTAAAGAGCACAAAAATATATATAAAATACAGACAGTTGTTTCGAATGCTCAAAGGGCAACCCTCATCAGTGCAACTTGAAGTTTTTTTTGTACTCTTTAACGTTGTTTGCCTTAATTTGTATTTTAGCACAAAGGTCGCCCACTTGTGTATTTATCAATGAAATAGTTAAACTATTAAAAAGTTAATCGGAATTATTTTATGTGTTTTGGATGAACAAATTTTACTATTATGAGCAAAAAGTAACGGTGTCCCAAATTAATTTTTAATCAAGAAAAAACAAAAATTATATCGAAATCTAACAAATCAAATTTGAGGCAGAGTGGGCTAAAAACGTCGAAGCCTGTTTGACTAGAGAAGAAGAAAAAAGACATTTAAAACATACACATCGAAGTTCGATTAGTCACACTGGTTATGATGATTTTATCACTTGTTCCTCTCTAGTGATTCTACAAAATACGATAGCTATGAAAAGAAAAAACGAAATTGTGTATACCTTTTTGACTTATTTTTGTCAAATGTTCAAAAAATATATGTTTTATGACCATATTATATAGAAATGTCTTTGATATTTTTGGGAATAACAAATTTATCACTTTACTGATAAGAATACAATAGAAGTCCATTGTTTATTGTACTCGTCAGGGAAATTTATAATTTTTTATTATATCAATATTACATAAATGCTTCAAAATTTTAAACTAACTTGTCTAATAGTTTTATAATTTACATTTTATATTAGACTTGTGTTCTGCAAATAAATTGCCTCCTGGTACTTGCCCAAATGATGAATGCAGCCCGCACGAAACGTATGGATTTATTTGCAATTGTACAGGAAGGTTTAAACAATCTACTGATGGAATCCACTGTGAACGTAAGTATTTTTTCACTATTTTGGGCTCAAAATTTAACCCATTTGAATAATATTGCCTATTTTAAATTCAAAGAGAACACAAGTGTTCAGAAGATATGCACTTTTTGTATTGAGCCTCTGTAGCTCAGTAATTAAAAGCACTGAGCTGCCTTGAGATTAAACACTAGTCACGTTTGAAGTCTACCCAGTTTTAGATCAGTGTGTATCAGCGTTTATGGAGAGTAGAAGTGGTGGACTGATCACATTTCTGCAATCATGCCTTTCCTTGGTCTTGGAAATAATGATGAGTCAAATTAGATAGGTGGATTTGAGGTGCAATTACTAAGCATTAGTTTCAGATAATATAAACTTAAGTCTTATTTGTTGAACACGTATACAATATTTGTTATATATCTGCTATAATTAACAATACTTTCTATGCATCAATCAATTTGAAAACGATGATAAAGAACTAGTTTATCCATGAAAAATATATTTATTTTATTAAAAAAAATTTATTAAAAATTATTTATTTATTAAATATTTTGAAAAAAAATATTTATTTTCATCAAACTCTTCTTAAAGATAGCTGTGGTAACATTAACTTTTCTGAAAACATTCAATAAAATAAAGTAATTTTTTATGAGATAAGAAAGGATTTACTGTCTCAGAATTTGTGAAATTTGGAACAGCGTCAACAATTAAGCGTCACCTCTAAGAGGTGGCGAAAACCTTATAAAAAGAAAGAAAAAAAACAAAGGAGCAGTGATTGTTACACGATTCCAAGCCACAAAAGAAATTTAGAAGACTGTAGTGAGAATTTGGTTGTTGAATTGATGTACACCTTGAAAACAAGAAACGTAATGTTCAATTTACTAAAACGGTCATTTTATGTTGTATTTTGTTTTATTTTGGGGTTATTATAGGCTTTAAAAATCCCGGAGGTAATTATGAAAATCCCTGTTCAGTACTTCTTACACAGTAGAGTTATGTACTTTTCCATTAGAAAAACTTTCCGCTAACCTTTGGTAATATATGAAACTTTAGAAATTGTGGAAACTATATAACAAGGACATAATAGGTCTATTTTTTATACGTTGTTAAAACCGTGGAGCAATATCTCTCTGAATTTGATATTCAACAACCGAAAACATTGTGAGAACAAACACTTTTGACGAATCGAGCAAATCAATTAAATCAAGCTCTTATATAGAACTGAAAATCTATAAGAAAGCTCTAAACACTTAAAATGCAACAAAGCTAAATACAGATTACGCGCATTTATACCATACATTAAACATTTTCATTTCTAAAAGCTCTTACGTTGCCTCAATATGGATAGTAATTGGATTGGAATTGCTTACAATCAATTACTAATTGGCTTGCGTTTGTGGCTTTCTTCGATGTGGCTACTCGCCTACAGAAACTAAAGTTGACCGTTAAAATATGTGATGTATGGTTTAAGTTGTGTAACAAGGGTATTTATATTTTAATTTTTAAAAACAAGCACAATTTGATAATGTATAATTTCTATCTAGTGCATCTTTTTAAACCTGTTTCAAATTCGTCTTAATATTCCCTCTCTGTACAATGCGTATAGCTGTTTCACAAACTAATTTCAGAGTAAGAATATGTGTACGTATGCATTCTCGACTTGTAAAAATAACCTTACTGACTCTTATGACTAGCTTATCTTACTGTTCAGGTATGCAGAATTCAGTTAAGGCAGAGGGGTGCGATTGTTCTTGGTTTCTAGTGGCGCCATCTATGGAAAAGAATTCGACTTCTGTCACGCCCATACGTCACGCTCGTTTATAGGGCGGCTCCATTGTTCCATTCGTGCATCCACAGATCGTAATTTTGACCTGAATCAGAGAACGATCAATCTCCAATTCAGTACCCACAGAGGTTTGATTTGTAATGGGCACATGGAGATCTTTGCGACTCCAGAGATTTAACGTGCATCAGTCTAAATTTCACTACATGGGCCGGTGGGGTTCAAACCCACGAACCCTCGGGCATGGACCCAGTGCCCTACTGACCAGGCTGACTCGGCTCCTACTGTAATTATAATTATTAGCAATACAGGATTCCTGAAATGGTGGCAGCTATTTCACACCAAGTAGTGTAAAGAAACATTCTTGGCGGCTCACTACGGTCGAAATTGTCCGTGGACATCACTTTGGTGTAAAGTAGTTTTCCACTTTCCCATTCAGTAAGTTTAAGAAGGCGGATAGAAATCAAAAGGGGCAGAGAAAAACTTTGGAAATCAACAATGACACTGAAAAACAACTTTTGAAGCAATTTTCTGTTTTTTACTAAGTATTTTTACATTTAACTGATTAAAAGCAGTTTAAGTTGCGTGAAAAAAAAAGCTTAAAAGAGTCACATATTATGTTCATTTAGAGAGTTTTGAGTGTTAATTTAAAGAGTTTTTCAGTATTTTTTTACTGGATATGCAGATTGTTATTTATCAACATTAACCTTTGTGTTTCAGTTAAGCAAATGTGCTCGGAAGGAGGTAAAAGCAAAGAGTGCGCCAAGATCAATGCTCAATGCGTTGAAGCACCAGATTTCAATGAAGGTTATGCGTGTAACTGCGAAGATGGGTATGATAAAGATGAAAACGGATTCTGCGTTCGTATGTGTTTTCAATTATTTATCTTTTTTCAATATATATAGAATCGATGAATAAACTAAAGTGGAATGGTTATCTATGCGAAAATTGAAATGTAATATTTAAATTTATTTTATTTATTTCAGACAAATGTCAAATTAAAAAGAATGAAGAGAATTGCTTGAAAATGAATGCCAAGTGTATATTAGATGATAAGTATAATAACATTTGCAAATGTCCCCCATTGTTTGAAGAAGATACAAATAAGAAAAAATGTGTTAAAGGTATTTTCCTACTGATATGGTATTTTATATAAAATGACATCCCTAATACTTCAGATATAATGCTTTAAACACACAATATATTGTCTGCCTCCTTTTTTTTAAAACTTTTTCTCATTTCCATTCTTATGTCATTTTTTTCCGATCTGTTTGGATTACTTCGAATTTCATGGTGCATGATTTTTGATGAGCACGTTGCATCTAATTCTTGCTTAACTTGAAATATTTACACAAAGTAAAATTTAAAAGTGAGTTATTAAAGTTAATTAAAAAAAATAATAAATTAAAGTGCATAGTTACAAGTTTTACCGTAAAAATCAATCTACGATGAGAATTTTATTACTTTAATAATATTACTTATTTAATCGTTTAAAATACAACAATAAGTATAAAATTGAAATCTATTATTTTTATATATATATATATACATA